ATAACACATACACAAATAAACAAAGATAGGTTCAACCAACTTAAGGATGGACCAGCAATAGGTCGATCTTCCCCCAGTGAAGTCGCCATTTTTTCTGTAGCGGTAGAAATGTTGAGACTAAGCCATTAGATTGACTTGACTCGCACAAATCAAATAAAAATTGCCATCGTACTTTATTGTTTCCAAAGGAATGGGAAAAGAGCGAATAACCCAAAAAGAGAGGGAGAGAATCTAAGTTTGGGGGTTAGTTATGCAAAGGGAAGGTATTAACACCTTAAACATCTACGGTACTCCGCAGGAATCTCTTTGAAAATTTGTGTATTTTGGCTATAAATGTTGTATAAAAATAGATTATATAGATGAGAAAATAAGTTTTTTTTTAATTATTTTTGTACCCGCCGCGGTTGTGAATCTTTAGTGTCTACGTACCACCTTCCGTGCAATACGTACCACCTTTAAAATTTTTAAAACATATGTGTGTTGGTTAATTTTAAGAGACGAGACATCATCGTCTTATCCGAGTGGAAAACATACTTACTATCCACAATAATGAGAAAGGAGAATTTGTGTCATCTCAAAGTGAAGGATATAGTTTGGATTTTAAAATCAACAAAGTCTCGCTCAACACCCAAGTGGAAAATATCTCGCTTCACTACATATCGTAGAAGTATAGTAGCTCGCATCACTACAAGGATTTGACAAGAGTCTAATCTTTTGAGAAAATTTTAAAGTAAAAAGCTAAAATGGCAAAATGGTTTGAATGAGATTGATTGAATTTTAGTCTTCTCACAAAAAATGCCAAAGTATTATTAAGTTAGTTAAAGTTTGATTAAGAAAATATTTTTTGAAAATGCATGGACCTAAGTCCAAGTTTATTATGAAAGCGGTTCAAGTTTAAAAATAAGAAGAGTTTTTAAAAGGAGGGAGAAGATTTTTGAAATTAAAGAAGATGGGAGGAGAAGAAGGGATTATCCTAAAGCATAAGATAAAAGCTAGGGAAAGGAACCGTCTAACCAACAAGAAGCCAACACTTGACATGATGATTCAATGTAGAGTTCACATCCTTTGGATTTGAAAACACACAAGCAAAGATAATAAACCTTTTAAGAAAACCAAGCTTCAATTGCATTAGGTCTTTCACAAAAATTGGGTAGAGTAACGTCTGTATACAGATGAATTCCAGATCATAGACAAAGCATGTAATCACAATAACCTGCACACAAAATAAACAAACAACCAAATGTCTTGGGGTAAACCCCAAGAACTCCAGACAAAATAACAGTTGAGGTCACAAGGTGCCAAGATAGATCAAGGCTTCTAATCCCAAGTCCAAGAAGTCCACAATCTCCATAATGCCAAGGATAGTAACCAAGTAGTCCAAGTAACATTAAAGTTTTTTATGGTTCAAGTTGATTATTAAGTATCTTCAAAAAAAATGGAAAGCTCAAATGAGCAAAATAAAAATGACATAAAAGTAAATGCTCAAATGAGCAAAGATGAAAATAGCATGAAATGTAAAATGCTAAAATAAATGTGCTTAAAATAAAGAGCATAAAGTAAAAGTACAAAATAAAGTCAATTGTTAGAAATTAGAGGTTAGTTGAACGACCATCTTGAAACTTGCATTTGAAACTCATTAGAGGATTGATAAAACCAAAGCCTCTCAACAACAAGTTTCATTTGGTTTTTTTCAAGTATATCATTCACTTAAAATTCTCAAGGCAACAATAAATGATCAACGATATTTAAGTGATTTACTTTGACCAAAGCTTATGAAGATTCATTAGAGGATTGATAAGACCAAAGCCTCCTAACAATAAATCTCAAGATTATTGGATCAAAGGATTCAAATTAACATACTTGAGCTTGCAAATATAAGTTTGGGCCACGAATGATCATTTCTCGAATCGGGACAATATTTAGTGTTATGTTAAGCTATCGTAAGTGGACTTATATAGAAGTCACACCTATTTTAAGGTCGGTCAATAAAGTCTATGCATCCATACGTGTTTAAAAGCTAAATTGGAATTAACTTTGAAATCGTAATGCAATAAAAAAATTAGCAACACAACTTATTTGAATTTATTTACAAAATCACAAAACCAAAATATAAAAAGAAATAAAGGAGGTGTCAACATAAATGAGTTTAAAAATAAGCCCAATACCAAAGGCCATATAGTAAACTATAGTTTCTATTTATTTATTTTTTCTTTTTATTAAAAAAAACTCTATACATACAAGATAAAAATAATAAAACTGTTAATAATAAAAAAATGATTAAACAAAGAAAAAAAGAAATCAGAATGGGAAATACGTTGTGAATATGTGCGGTTCTGTGTTGAAGACGGAAAGGAGTATGTGAGATGGATGTTGTCCGTTGAAGAGCTTATCGGTGGAAACTGTGAACAGATGTATCACGATGATGATGGTGATGATTAATGTGAAGTGAGGTTTCACGGATGGTAGGAGATGGGCGTGTATAAGTTTGTATGGAGGTTAACTGATGGAGTAGCCGATTACGGTGATTCCGCAGAGAAGAGGAGGTGAGGTTTTATTCGATGGGTGAATGGGGTTTGAAGAAATTTTATGGTGATTAATAAAAATGAAGGTGGTTCACGAATAGAAAGGGTGAAAGTTGGTGGTGGTGTTGAGAAGAAGAAATTGGAAGTTAGATTGATGGTGAGGAATTGAAGAGAGATGAAGGAAATTGATGAGAAACTAAGAAGATGGATGGTGAAATTGGAAGAATAGAAATTCAATTTCTGGTTTTTTGTGTTGTTCAATTTCGTTTCCTGCTATACTAGCCCTTTCTCAATTCAACTATTCCTCAATTTATAGCACAAAACTAAAGGTTTGGCTAATTTTTACAATGGCCAAAATGATCCTCAATGATAAAATCAACGCAAAAATCTGAAAGTACAAAAATTAACTCAATTTAATTTTTTTTTAATTTTTCTGATTAAAAAATAGAGACCTAAAATGACTAAAAACAATAAAAAAATGGACAAAAATCTATCCGAAAAATAAAATAAACACATTAAAATAAACTACATGTCTTAAATATTAATGAAAAATTACTCAAATGATCAAAATCGAAATAAAATAAGAATAAAAATATCAGGCTGAACAAACGTTTATGATTAAAAACGAGACTTCAAACTATACCGAAAAAATGAAGCGAGCATACCGTCATGATCTACGCGAAACGCAGATTCATAAAATGATTAGTAAAAGGTGAAAACTTGAAATATTTTCTCGTTAATTTTCCACACAGTGTCGAATCGCTTTTAACGGTCTGTCTGTAAAACCGAAATATTAATATTATCGATATATAAACAACTTGGAGGAATGCAAGAAACGAGTAAAGAGATAAAAATGCATGAAGTAAAATATCAGGTATTTTTTAATTAAAAAATGATGCAAACTTCGATTTAAATTGACTTTTGGTCAACTTAAATACGACTAATGATGCAAAATGTGATGAATGAAGATATTTATTAATGATTGTGACAAAATAACAAAATATGATAAGACAATGCGACTAAAAAAATTAGGGGCGAAATTTAGAGTGCAACAACTGAAGTCATTTTGAGAAACCTTCTGAAGCAAAGTTGTTCCTCACATCATTAGCTCTTGACTTGTAAAGAGAAGTTGGAGATGACGTCAAGGAGATTCATATGCTCGAAGAATCGCTCAAAATATCGAACAATAAAGACGTTATGATCATTCGAACTCAAACTGGAAAACATTGACTTTTGGTCCTACAACTTCAAATCAACTCGCGAACTTGATCTTTTTCACAGCCCAAGATACTATTAATCACATATGAACTTGAGACGTCGAAGAAGGCATGGAAATAAACACATGAACTTATCTCGAAGAATCTTGAGAATTAAGCAACCAGACTTGCCTTAACTATGTTGAATGAAACTTGAGGATAACGTGACCTAAGATTATAGATCATCACTCTAAACCATAGGCTTTTGGGAACTATTTTTGACTTGAACAAATCATGACCCTAATCGGAGAGTCATCACCTGAATTTCTTGGTCGCAAACACTGTCTTTCAAGACACAAAACAAACAAAACATATTTTGGAATTTTGGTTAGAAGTCAGTAAAATATAAAACACATATATACGAGACACACGATTCAAGGTGCTTGGTGATCTCTCAGGAGCAAAACTAAAGATAAGGAGAAGAACCAAACCCTACTGTGATCTTGTTATGATTGAGTTGATATGATATGATAAATGAATCTTAGGAGCAAAAATTAAGATACAACATATAGTATTTAAAAATATTCCACTGATTATAATAATTAAAAGGTTTTTTTTAATAATTTTTTATAGATTTCGAAAAAAGATTGAAGAAAAAATTTCTCATATAATTCTAATTTTCTTTTTTGTTTTTAGTTAAAATTTAGAATGGATCATATTTTATAGAAAAAATACATTCACCTCGTAATATCATTTTAATTGTTAAATATATATTAAAATGACACCGATATTTCCTATAATATTTAATGATAATAAAAAATCATAGACATAAATATATGATTAAGGAAAGTTAGTGTATAATTTAAAATTAAAAAAAATGTCAATGTCTTTTCTAAGTGAGTATAATTTTCTCTATTTTATATTATCATTAACTTTTAATAAATAATATTAAGAGTTGTTATATTGTGTTTTAATTAGATAAAAACAAGTCTAGAAGAGTAAAAGCGCAGATCCCTTTTCCAAGAATTTTACTTTCCTTGTCTATGGAGTAAAGTGCATGCATAAGTACAATCTAGTTGTGAGATTAAAACTTTAGTAGTGAAGAAGACATGGATAAATCACAACTAAAGTGGAGGCATAAAATCTTTTTTTAAGCATCTTTACTTATCTTGTTCATAAGGTAAAGACATGAATGAAGATATGAAATAGTAAAGGTTATTATTCAGAAGTAAACAAATGGATTTAAATACATTCACTTTGCAAGACCATTTTATCATATTACATGATGGCATTCCACACTAGTCTTGATCAGAAATTTATGGAGCTTCTAGAAGCAAAGCAAAGTCGGCAAAGCTCACGCCCCAAGATCCAAGAGGTTCCAGAGTATTTCCGAAATAGAAATAACATTGTGAAGTATTTCTCACCCAAGTCGGTGTCAATAGGTCCCATCCATCATAACACTCAAAATCTCAAACTAGGAGAGAACTATAAACTTACTTGGGCAGCAAAATACATCCAACTCACCCAACAAAGTCCAAAATTTCTACACAAAAAGATTCTCGATAATATTGATGAACTCAAGGATCTTTATGCCGATAAGGTTTTGGCCTATAGCTGTACCACAGAGTTTGTAAAAGACTTACACAGCCTTGAGGAAAAGCTGGCATGGGTGTTGTTCGTGGATGGGTGTTTTTTGATGTATATTTTAATGTATTTGAGGCTTCAATATGAAAACCCAGAAGATGTGAATACTAAGGTTGATCGTCTTGATCTTGTGATGAAGGATGTGCTTTTGTTGGAGAATCAGCTTCCTTATCTAGTACTGAAGTTGTTGTGGAAAGATGATAACGAGGATGAATTGATATATACTATGATGAATTTTCTCAACTATTATCATTGGGCCCCACTGGATAATAAGACGACTTGGAGGTGGAGGAGGAGGAGGCAAACAAATAAAGAGATAAAAACAAAACATGTATTTGAATTACAGTATGAGCAACCGACTCATCTTCTTGATCTTCAGCGTAAAATCATTCTCAATAAATATAAGGTAAAAATTTAGTTTTGTTATTATATTATATATAATAAGTAAAATGATGAAATCCATTTGTTATGAACTTAGATTGAAGCCGGTGATGAAGTTAACAAGAAACAAAGTAGGGAGTTTTCAGAAATAGAAAGCAAGATGATGACATACAGGAACATAGAAGATTTAACAACAGTAGGAATAAAACTTAAATCAAGCGGGACACGAAGGCCAACAGACATAAATTTCTCGGAGGGTTGGTTTGCTGGGAAACTAACTCTTCCTCAGATTGTTGTGGACGATGACACGGCTGCCTCTTTCCTGAACCTGATAGCGTATGAGATGTGTCCAGATTTTAAAAACGACAAGGAAATATCTTCATTCGTGGTTTTCTTAAACTCGCTCATTGACCATGCTGAAGATGTGAAGATATTGAGATCAAAAGGTATTTTGGTGAATTCACTTGAGAGTGATGAGGAAGTTGCTAATCTTTTCAACAACATAAGTACTGACTTGATATATAACCCCGAAATATATTTTGAAGTTAGAGTTAAAATACACGAGCATCACTTTAATACATGTAAGATTTGGTTAGCACAAGGTTATCACAATCATTTCAGCAATCCTTGGGCTATCATTGGTTTCTTTGCTGCGTTAATTGCACTTACTCTCACTTTCGTTCAAACATGGTTTACCATTTTCCCGCGCTAGCAACCTCATAAACATGGTTTAATGCGGAATTGTCTTCTTGTCAGGAAACTACTCTACTTCACTTCTCAAAGGATTTTGTTCAACTTTTTTTTAATCAATTCTTCAGTCTTCGCTATCAAGAGTGTGATTTATTGTTTGATTTTTTTTAAGAGGTGTGTGGTTGAATTGAAATATGTAAATTTCATAATTCAAGTGTGACTTATTGTTTGGTTTTTTTAAGAGGTGTGTGGTTGAATTGAAATATGTAAATTTCATAATTCAAGTTTCTTTATTTAAATTAGGTGAAGGTTAGTATGGTGAACTTTATTTATTGGTCTATGATGGTGAACAAAAAAAAAATCACCTATTATTATAAGTTAAATCAGTTTTTTTTCAATTTAAACAAAATCCCAATACATTATATAAATACATCTAAGATTGATAGAATTTATACAAATGCCCAACATAATAAAATAATTGATTATTAGCTTATAAGATTTCTTACTAATAGTATTTTGATTGTCGATATAATTTGAGAATACAAAAATGACAATTTTGATGAATAATACTTTTGTGGCAAAAACATTATATAAAAAAAATATTAATCCCTACCCTTCATCTCAAAACACATAAGTATTCAACCCAAAAACATATGATAATTGATAAATAAAATCTCCAAATTCATTTCTCATGTCTTTTCTCTGCCATACCCTCTCACAAATTAAACCCGTTATTCCAATATAATTTCTTTACCGACATTTCTTTCTAAATTCTTTTCTTGTAAACTGATAACATCTAAAACCCAAATCATAAATCCTGTAAATAAATTGAATGGGTTAGAGAGAGTGAGATCCCTTGTAAGTGGGGAAACAGAGAAGATGAACAAGAAAAAAAAAGAAAAGAAAAATATAACCCTTATTTATGATTCTTTGACTTGTTTCTTTAAGAACTTTTTCTCTGACTTGTTAAAATTTAAGATCAAAAGTTTTAATTTTTGGTAATGGTGTTTATATTTGTTAGTTTCTGGTTTCCAGATGCAAGATATTATATCAAGATAGTTATAGTAACGTTGATTAGGTGTTTAATTTTATTTAATTTTTAACAATATTACAGTAATTAATGAATAAATAATAATAATAATAATGTCTCGTAAACAAAAATTTACATTTTGACTATTATTAAATATAGGGTTTAATAGATATACACGGTGTAAAATAATTTTATACTATTATCTAATAGAAAATCATTAATTTATTATATTATTAAATTTTTTTAAAATAAAAGAATAATTTAATTAAATACATAGTGATAATTGATTAACAATACAGTATACTATGCATTTTCTTTTAAATATATCAGTTTTAACGAAAAAATTGTTGTTATGATTATTTTTTTATGTAGTTATTAATTAAATATCATATAAACAAAATAAAATTTAACAGTAAAATTATTTTAATAAAATATTAATATACTAATCTATGTGTTTGTATGTATGTTTGTTTCATACTTTTATATGTTAATATTATAATTTAACGTACATATTAGGGTTCAAATTATAAATATGTATTAGGGTTTATATATATATATATATATATATATATATATATATATATATATATATATATATATATATATATATATATATATATATATATATATATATATATATATATATATATATATATATATATATATATATATATATATATATATATATATATATATATATATATATATATATATATATATATATATTAAATTAATGGCTATGTTTTGGTTCACCATAATAAAACAGTAAATTTTGTTCACCATATTATCATTCACCTTTAAATTATTCTTCTGATTGACATTTAGATGTTTCTATATATTATTGTGATTATTTAATCATCTATTCATATATACATTAATAAGTTAATAGATCGAATATATGTTAATTTTTTTAGGGTTAATATTCAATTCCCTATATGTCATGAGTATTGGAAATGTAATTTATTTTATGTCCACAATTCTCAATACTTACTTTTTATTAGGGCCTTGTGGCATTTTCTATTTCTAGTATAAATATGCTACATAAGCTATCAATATTGTATCCCAAATTCATTCCTCTATTTGAATATAAGAAGTAGTCCTCTTTGTTATCATTCATTGTTCATTCTTTATCTCTCCTTCCATTACCTTGCACCAACAAATTGGTATCTAGAGCTTTTGGTTCTGTTTTCCTGAGAAACACGAGTGGTTGTGAGCTGTGTGTTTGAGTTTTGTTCCTTGATTTTCTGTTGAAATCTTGAACAAAATTCTGAACAGAATTTTGATTATGTGGGTTGGGAAATAGTGTGTTTAAGATCTGAAAATTCGTGCAAGGTTTAAAATGAGTGGAGACGGTAGTTTGAACACTAAACTTCCAGTTTTTAATGGCAAAAACTGGAACAGATGGATGATACAAATGCGTGTACTGTTCGGTGCACAAGATATTCTGGATCTGGTTACAGATGGTTATGTACCAACTGCAGCAGATGCAACTGAAGAACAGAGAACTGCTGAGAGGTTGATGAGAAAGAGGGACCAGAAAGCTCTGTTCTATATCCATCAGTGTGTGGATGAAAATGTGTTCGAGAAGATTGTTGATTCAACAACGTCTAAAGGGGCGTGGGATTTACTGACGAGATGTTACGGTGGTGACACATCAGTAAAGAAGGTGAAGCTTCAATCCCTACGAAAGCAATATGAGAACCTGAACATGAAGAGCAGTGAGAAAGTTTCTGAATATATCTCCAGAGTGATTCTGATCACTAACAAGATGAAGGCGTGTGGAGAAACTCTGACTGAACAGGTAATCATAGAGAAGATTCTGAGGTCGCTCACTCCTCAGTTTGATTACATTGTTGTTTCTATTGAACATTCTAAAGATCTGGAAACCATGAAAATAGAAGAATTACAAAGCAGCTTAGAAGCACAGGAGTTACGTCTGTCTGAGAGAACTTCTGAGAGAGAAGTTGAGCAAGCTCTGAAGGCTTCTTTTGTCAAGAAAGACCAGAAGCAGAATAGACGTGGTGATAGATTCCAGAAGTCATAAGCCTCAACTTCTGATGATAAGAAGTATAATAAAGGAAAAGAGAGGTATGACAAAAGGAAGGTTCAATGTTACTCCTGTAAACAATTGGGCCATTTTGCCAGAGATTGTAGGTCAAACAGGGATAGGAAATCAGAAGAAGCATATATGGCTAAGAGAAACTCTGATGATGAACCTGTACTGCTAATGGCCTCTGACTCTGATGGAAAACACTCAGAAGATTTGTGGTATATGGACACTGGTTGCTCAAATCATTTAATTGGAAACAAACAATGGCTGACAGACTTTGACTCCAGAAGGAGTACAAAGATCAGATGTGCTGACGATAAGTATCTTAATGCAGAAGGTATGGGAGATGTCAGAATTAGAGTGAAGAATGGGAAAGACATTCTGATCAAAGACGTCTGGTATGTTCCTGGTATTAGAAGCAATCTGATGAGCGTAGGTCAGCTGATTGAGAAAGGTTTTTCAGTTGTTATGAAAAACAATCTTCTGACGTTGTATGATTCCAATAAGAAGTTAATTATGAAATTTGAACAAGGAGGCAACAGAACATTCAAGGTGAATGTAGAAACAGCTGAAGCAACGTGCCTTAGTGCAGAAGGTGCTGAAAGTAACAGTAAGTTGTGGCATAAGAGGTTAGGGCACTTAAACTATAGAAGCTTAGGGCATCTATGTTCCAAGAAGCTCGTACGTGGTATTTCGAAAATTGTGAAGCCTGAGAAGTCATGTGAGATATGCATGAAAGGTAAGCAAACTAGATTACCATTTACATCAGAAGTAGCCCCCAGAGAGAAACATGCTCTGGGAGTAGTACATTCTGATGTGTGTGGACCATTTCCAGTATCTTCACTTGGAGGAAACAATTACTTTGTGTCTTTTGTGGATGAGTTCACAAGAATGACATGGGTAACACTTATCAAATTCAAGCATGAAGTGTTTACTGAGTTCCAGAAATTCAAGGTGAAGGCTGAGAAGCAGAGTGGTCAGAAGTTAAAAATTCTGAGAACATGTGGTGGAGGTGAGTATAACTCTACTGTGTTTCAGAAGTTTTGTGAGGAAAATGGAATAGAACATGAGGTTACTGCTCCATATAATCCTCAGCACAACGGTCTTGCTGAAAGAAGAAACAGAACTCTGCTTGATATGACCAGAAGCATGCTGAAAGAGAAAAAGCTACCTCACGTGCTATGGGGAGAAGATGTTGCCACATCAGCATACATTCTGAACAGGTGTCCAACAAAGAAACTGAAGGAAGTTGTTCCTTTAGAGAAATGGACTGGAGATAAGCAGAGTGTCAGTCATCTGAAGGTGTTTGGCTCTGTCTGTTACAAACACGTTCCAGAAGCTAGAAGACAAAAACTGGATGATAGAAGCAAAATAATGTTGCTGGTGGGGTACCACCAGTACAGGTGCGTATAAGCTTTATTGTCCAGAAACTAATAAAGTTGAAGTCAGCAGAGACGTTGTAGTGAAAGAGTCTGAAGCATGGGATTGGAACAAATCTCAATCTGATTCTGGTGTAGTGCCAACACCAGAGTTATCCTCTGAAGATGTTTTAGAAAGATCAGAAGATGAATCTGATTCTGAAGATCCTGAAGATTCTGAAGATGAGTTAGAAGAAGATGATCCAGATACTGATGATGATCCAGAATCTGGTGGTAATCATAGTTCTGGAAGGGAAAACTCTGAAGGTGGTAACTCTGAAAGTAGTAGTTTTGGTGCAGTTTCAGAACAAGCTCAAAGACCACAGAGAATCAGACAAAAACCCAGAAGGTTTGCAGATTTTGACATGCTGCAGGATAATGAAGTTGACTCTGAAGGAGAAGTCGTTCAGTGTGCCATGTTAGTAGATTCTGAACCAGTGGGCATTGAAGAAGCTCTCAAGAAGAAAGAATGGCTTAATGCCATAAAAGAAGAACTTGAGGCAATAGAAAGG